GTCTGCCTTCGGCTCAGGTCATGATCCCAGGGTCCTGGGATCGAGCCCCGCATCGGGCTCCCTGCTCGGTGGGAAGCCTGCTTCTCCCTCTCCCACTCCCCTGCTTGTGTTCCCTCTCTCGCTGTGTCTCTCTCTGTCAAATAAATAAATAAAATCTTTAAAAAAATAAAAAAATAAAGTATCTGTACATATATTAATCATTTAGCCTCCCCACCAGTCCTGTGAGGCCAGTATCTGTTAAGTCACTTGGTCAAGGTCACAGAGCTACTAAGTGAAGAGGCTCATTTCAAACCCAGGTCCTCTTAACCGCTATGCGAGGCTCTGTCTGAATACACATTTCGCGCCAGGGCAATGATTTTCTTTCCTTTTTTTTTTTTTTTTAAATTTTTAAAAAAAGATTTATTTATTTGAGAGAGGAAGAGGGAGAGACAGCGTAAGCACATGAAGGGGAGGGACAGAGAGAGAGAGAAAGAAACTCTAGCAGACTCCACACTCAGCACAGAGCCCAACAAGGGGCTTGATCCCACAATCCTGAGAACACGACCTGAGCCAAATCCAAGAGTGGGATGCTTAACTGACTGAGCCACCCAGGTGCTCCCCAGGGCAGTAATTTTCAAGGAGAAAAACAAAAGACCAGACCCTGAGTTCTAAAAGAGATTTAAAAGATTGACTATCCAGTGATTCCCAAATTGCTGGCTGTTCATCAGTACAAAAAAGAGCTTGTTTAAAACTATAAAATCTCTAGGTCCAACCCCTAGGAATTCTTATTCAATAGGTTCTGGGGTCCAGAAATAAGTTTCCCCAACTGGTCACTCAGCCCCTGCCTGAACACTTCCATTGGGCATTCACTGCTTGGATAGTAATCCTCTCTACTTCACACACCAAACAAATGCCTGGATCTTTCATAGGGATCTTTTTGATTCTTCTTCTAAATATAAGGATTTTGTTGTTGCTTTTTATGCTGAGCCAAATACTTGCTACTCACTGGCTCTGGCTTGCCTACTCCTTCCTCCCTAAGGTCAGCCCTGCAAATATCCAACCACAGTGGCCATGCCTCCTCAAGCATAGTTCCCCTACATTCCCAGCATTTGGGGGACAGTGTTCCATAGCTGTGAGTCTCCTCCTCCCTCAGGACTACATAACACATTCAGTGGTTGAGGCTGTGCTTGCATTTGGTAACCTGTTTGGGTGAGTTCTGCTCAGAACACAGGTGAGTGGGGTTACTATCCCCTACTGTTCTATTAATGCAATTTTAAACTGCACTTGATTAGTTTCCACATCCCCCCTGATGACTCATTCAATTAACTAGATTTGGTTTTTTTTTAATGAGCTGTCACTGGAATGGATCCTCTCCATTTAAATAATTGGTATTTTGAACCTATGTGCAGGACCTGAAGGTTATTCTCACTGTATTTCATTTGGGAAGTAAAAGCAACTTGTTAGTTTGGGATCTTTGTTTCCATCCATTGAGACTGATTTCTAACAAGGTTTTCAGAATCTCAATTCCATCCTCATCATACAAATGATACCTCCTGGCTCAATGTCATCTACCTACCAGAGTACTTGACATATACGTGAGCCCAATAAATGGATGCTGAATGATGGAACAAACTGGTGAATTTGGTGGCCTTCCCATAAACAGATGCTCTCACCTTGATGACATTTCCATACAAACTCTCTATACATTACTTCCTTACAGAGAGGCAAGTCTTTAGTGCGGTTAATGGTGGCAGCAGAAGGCTCTCCAATCTTAGAGTTACCACTCACACTCAGAATTCCACAAAGACAGTAATGCTCTACTCTGAGGTAAAAGACAACAAACAACTCTACTTCCATCTCCACTATGACACAGACTTGCTGGACCAGCAGGTGGGAATTACAGCCTGGCTCTGTATACTGCATTACGCAGGCCCTTTCTTTGTCTATTTCTTTCACACTGCAACTGGATAATACTTGAGTGTTTGAGGGTACTCCACTGATGACCTGTAAGAATTCTCTTTCTTTAATATAGCACTGGTTATCCTACACCTTGTTGAGAAACATTATAACCAACCTACGCATTATGCACACTACTCTCTGAGATCACAGCTTTTTCATTGGAAGAAACTAGGAAGACATTTCACCTGGGTTGATGATCTCATCATCCTCACTGAAAGTCACCCGCGAGTTCTTCCTCTTCCTCTTTGGTCTCTGAATGTCGAGATTCCCCTCCTCAATGGTCAGGGTGGAAATCCGCTTGTTGTGGGCAGTGTTGAACTCTGTCAGGTTCTAGGCCAGGGTTCACACAAGACAGACAGGAGTCAGTACACAGGGAATCTGAAGACCATAGAGCTAAACAGGGGCAAGAAGGCTTTAGGAGCGAATGTTAACCTCCCCAGGCAAACAAGCTCCTCTTGTATTCAGAAAAGACTCATTACTGCCCTTAGACTGCTACTATTAACAAGCCTCTTTTGACAAAATATGGAACATCCCCACTAATTAGTGGGGCAATGATGGTCACAAGGAGGTGAAGAACCTTGAGTTGAGAACAGGTCATCTGTGCAAATATCCCTGAGGTAGGGTTCTGTGTTTCTGGGGGAAAGACTATCATGTCTTCATGCTGAGAATTAAAGAATGTGACCGGGAGGAACTCCATGAACTGCCTTAAAATAACGAAACAGAGATGAGAGAGGGCAACTGACAGCTTCTTTCCCACTAGCCCTCCCGACTGAAGCTCAGAAGGACAAGGCCAGTGCACTTAATATTTGGCATTAATGGTTTGTCACTCCCCGTCCCTGTGTATGGCCCCATTTCTATTCATAACCACCCATCTATTTCAATGATTAACTTGGCCTCAGCACTGCTGCCTGCCTCTTCCCAATCCTCTGGACCTATTCCAATCTGCACTGCAGTCTGAGACACTCTAAATGTCTTGAGAATGAAGACCCAGGGAGGACCTAACAAACTGAACTTAAAAGACAGGGAAGCAGGGAAGCAGCCTGGAGGAGAGATGGGCACCAGTGACTGTCAGCAAGGTGCCTGGCTATGAGGCTACTTCTTTAGAACAAAATAACATGTAAATGATAAGATTTCTGTTGTGCTTTTTTTCCTAAGGGCTGAGAAACTGCCTTGATGAACAAGAGGTAAATGCATGAGGGTGGGTAAGGGCATGCTGGCATTTGGTCTACCTGAATAGACCAGTCACACCAGTGCAGCGATGGACACGTTAAGGACAACAGATGCATCACAAGCCTCTGGGGCTAGCCTCTAGAAAAGGACAACTTTAGCACTTTAAAATTACATCTTGTAAAATTCATGGCCTTCAGGGCAGCTAGGCCCATAAGACCAAAAGCAGTCTAGTTCTACTCAGAGATTCTTAGGCTATTTGAGCCATATAAAAAAAAAGCAATGTTGGGGCGCCTGGGTGGCTCAGTCGTTAGGCGTCTGCCTTCGGCTCAGGTCGTGATTCCAGGGTCCTGGGATTGAGCCCCACATGGGGCTCCCTGCTCCGCAGGAAGCCTGCTTTCTCCCTCTCCCACTCCCCCTGCTTGTGTTCCCTCTCTCGCTGTGTCTCTCTCTGTCAAATAAATAAAATCTTAAAAAACAAACAAAAAAAGCAATGTAAATGAACGAAAGCTTCAGTCTCTCTAAGCCTGTGCTGTGTGACCAAACTTTCTGGGTGATGGAAATGTTCTATATCCTTGTCATTCAATATGGAAGTCACTAGCCACATGTGACTACTGAGTACCAGAAATGTGGTTAGTAGCTACCACACTGGACAGGGCAGCTCCAGGAAAGTTTAACTCCTGGCCCTGGCTTCTAACATCCAATGAAGGTATACAGACGACCATGAAGGTCTGACAGGAACTCCTCGAGAGGCCCGGCTGGACATAACCAAGCCCACACGGCCCAGCTGTCCCAGGTGCGTCACATCTGGACACACTGTACTGGAAAAGCAGCAAACCTCCTGATGCTAAGTCACTGGCATTTCAAGCTACACAGAACAGCTACATACTGCAAAACCCAGAGTCCCAAAAGACAAAATAACACCATAGATGGATATGGAATTACATCAAGCTCGGTCTCCTCCTCTGGAAGCCCCAGCAAGCCCTTGAGCTCATCGTCCTCTCCACCCATCTTCTCATCTCCCTTCACAGCTGACGGCAGTGTCTGAGGCTTCTCACGTAGAGTGTAGGCCCTTGTGGATGCGCCAAACGAGACTGTGGAATCGATGGGAATCTGCTGAGGCTTGTGAGGTTCCAACCGAATGTGACCCAAGAAAGTGCCGTGTGCTGGGAATAACCAAATCAGAAATATAAGAGAAACACAGAAACAAAAACCAACCTGAGTTGTAGGAGGGCGAGTAGTTCCTCCCAGCACATCAGTTTTGCTTTTTAAAATGAAAATAGCATGCGGTCCACTTTGCATCCCTTGTCATGGGTCACCATGAAAAGGAAACTCTTCACTGAGTCTTCAATCTCTTCAGTGGATTTCTTACACATCTCCAGACCCGTCGCTACCCCATCGAACAAAGACCATTGCTCACTCTCCGCTGGACAGGTTTGGCTTCATTCTGGGTCTAGCAGGAATCGCTCCAACCCAGCGACAGCCATGCCCCGCAAGGCAGAAGACAGGCATTGCTGTGGTCTGACCTCTCCAGCCCCAAGTGTAAGGAACATAAGAACTTCTGGCGTGGTGGCAGTTATGTTTGGGTTTTCCCCAGGACAATAAAGGACACTGGCTTAAATAGGTGCATTATGAATGCCAAGTCAAACCAAAATTCTACTAGAGAGTCTCAATATTTCTCCATGTCAGCATTCTGCGTGTTATAAAATGGAAAGAAAAGATGAGATAAATTTGCAAGTAAGTACTTGTGAGACAAGCCCCTCCAAAGTCATTATATAAGCAGATTGTGTGTGTGTGTGTGTGTGCTAGAGGAGGGGAAAAGGAGTAGCACATGATCAGCCCAGGAGCAGGAGGCTTTACATTTTACACTATACTGATACATGGGCAAAATGAATAAACTTCAGAGCCCCATGCAGTTAAGTCTCAAGTGCATTTCTGGGATTATTTTTGGCAAAGATGAAAATCTTACTCCGAGTGTGCTCATGGAATTAAAACTGGTATTATTAGTAGTCAAAGCAAAATGTAGCTGGAATAAAAAACCCATCATAAAAAATTAAACTTTGCTCAAAGCAAGTATTTTTTAATGTCCTGCAACACTGCTCTAATACATTAATGGAGCTTTCCATGGCTTCTGCTTAAACCGGACCACAATTTTATCACGGTCCTATAAACACCTGAATACCCAGAGCCCCTGGTTCCTGGGTACCTTTTTTTTGTTCTCTGTATATACCTATTGCCTTTTCCAGGACATGACTTCCCAAAACCCTCTTCTCTCTCTAGTCATCAATTATTTCAGGAAAATAGGAGATATCACAGAAAGAGGAGCTGATTTAAAAACCAAACATAAACTTCTTCCTCGATGAGCAATAAAACATGATTTCAAAACTGAAGAACCCAAAGAGCATTTTCACATTGCCCCAAAGGGAATGTGTGAAACGGGATGGGATGTGTTACTTACTACTGTTGAGATCTATTAGGAAAACTCTCTTCAGATGCTTGTGGTAGACCAAGGCAGCGTGGACCCGAGAGCAAGACTGGTGGTCAATGGTAAAGTCACACAAATCAGGGTTTCTCCCAAATAAGTAATACTTCTTCTCATCAATAATCAGTTTCTAAATAAATATTAAATTAAATATTACTTAAATCTTGTTTCAACAGGGTTTAGCAAAAATTCTTCCAATCTAGTAAGTAGAGAATCTTGAGTAAATAAAATTCCTTGCCAAGGTGAAAACAAAATTATTTCCCACTATTCTTCAAGATAAAAAGCTCAGAATAATTTACTAGCATTTTGGAGGGGGGATGGCAATTAATCTCCCCAAATGCAGTGGTTAAATGTCTTAGGTTGGTATGAAAAGAACTTTTCTTAATTCTATTAGATGAATGTAGCCTGTGGGAGTGGCTGTCTTCCATCCATTGGAAATTTAAGATTTCACTGGATCTTAATTTTAGGCCAACCAGAAAACAAGAAGTACAAAGCATGTCTACAAAGTAATAAGACTGCTGTTCAGAAAATCTACATTCAAATGAATATTAACAATCGGTGAGGAGAGGAAAGGAAAGGGGTGTAAACACCTATGTGTATTCTAATCATGCTGCCATAGCCCCAAAGTATTTTTGGAACCCTCTTTAGGAAGTACAATTACATTAGATATCATTGTATGAGTACCTAAATCTAACTTCATTGGCCACAAAAAAATATTACTCTAAGTTAACTCTGAGTATTTGCTGTGTCCAAACATAGAACTACTTCATGGGGCAAAGATTTTCTAGGTTTGGGGAAGAAGGGTATGGGGATTAACATTTATTGACAGACTATTTACCGCTAGGCATTTTAAGCATAATCTCATCTAATTCTCCAAACAACTCTGTGAAACAAGTATCACCTCTATTGTTAAAGACAAGAAAACAGATGGAGAGAGATGAAGTCACTCACCCAAGGTAGCCCAGCTGGTTAAGTAGCACAGCTGGGATATGAACTCAGGTGTGAATGACCTGCAATGCCAATATTGTAAACAATGTGCCACTATCTGAAACAATTCTAAGAGAAGAGCTCTAAAATGTTTCTAGACACTGCTATGGCACTAAAAAGGACCCAAAACTATAGAATGTCCCAGTATAACAGCAGAAAAGGGGATTTCACAGACCAGGAAACTATTACAAAAAAAAATTATGAGGGGAGAAGGAGCTGATGTAGAATTGTTAACTTTTGATTTTGCCAAAGAAGGACATTAAAAAAAATTCTCACCAATTAGTAGCATCATAATCATTTTATAAAAGAAAGGTCATTTCAACACCAAATAAGTAGGAAGGAAAGGATAAAGGACATTCTTTGAGCTCATTTTAGCTTTATGGAACACTCACAACAATGTCCTTATTTTTCTTTTAATTTTTTTTTTTAATTTTTATTTAAGCAATCTCTACACCCAATGTGGGGCTTGAACTCATGACCCCGAGATCAAGAGTTGCATGCTCCACCGAACGAGCCAGTCAGGCTCCCGATTCTTATCTTTCTTTTAATCCTGAATCAGTAAAGCCTTTGCTGGTTGGTTGTAGACTGGGTTGTTGTAGATGAAGGACTCTAGATGAATTACTGCTAACACTTTCCCAGTTCTAGAAGTCTACAACTTGACTGCTCAAGAATGTTATATTTTTCCTTTACACACAGGTCTCCTTAAGCTCTAGTTCACATTTCACACTAACTCCTCCTGAAATCCCCAAGAGAAGATAGCACAAAGCTGAGTAGAGAAATAGTCAAGTTAGTATAGTACCAGGTAGGACTCAAGAGGCTTAGGTTTCATTCCTGGCTGTCACTAAACTCACACTGGGCCACTATTCTCCCCTGTGCTTTAGTGTTCCCCTTATGAATCCAGAATTATACCTCCCACTGAGACTGCTGAGCACTTAGGCGCCATACACTGTGCTAGGTTTCCTGCTGTGTCACTTCGTCTCCACAACCACTCTGTGCGGTGGGCAGGTATTTTTATTCTTATTTTTATGATGACAAAATTGAGACTCAAAGAACATAATTAACATATTCAAGTTCACACAGCTAAACACAGCAGTTACCCCCTTATCTGTGGGAGATATATTCCAAGACCCCCAGTGGATGCCTGAAACCTCATATATACCAAACCTTATACACTGTGTCTTTTCCTATACATACATACCTATGATAAAGTTTAATATATAAATTACACAGTAAGAGATTAACAATAATAAAACAGAACAATTATAACAATATACTGCAATAAGTTAATGTGAATGTGGTATCTCTCTCAAAATATTTTATTGTACTATACTCACTCCTCCTGTGATGATGTGAGATGACAGAATGCCTACGTGATGAGATGAAGTGAGGGGAACGACGCAGACACTGTGACACAGCATTAGACCACTACTGACCTCTGACAACATGTCAGAGGGAGCAGCTGTGCCAGTAACTGAAACGGTACCGTGGCTAAGGGGGGATACTACTGTATTTGTAAGCTGGATTAGAAATTCAGGTCTGTCTTACTTCAGAGTCCAAGCTCTTTTAACCACTACATTATGTATCTTCTTCACTCTACCTACATCGAAAAAACGCACCATAAGGCAAGGAACATTTTAAGAAGTGAACAAGTACTATGGGTCATGTTCTTAATTTTTCTTTTAACTATCACTTACCCAGTCCTTTTAAGAAGTGAACAAGTACTATGGGTAACTATGACCCATAGTTAAAAGTGATTTTCACTATCACTTACCCAGCCTCTTTCAGGCTTAGCCTTAAGACCCAGTTGGTTCAAGCTAGTCTACGTATGTGGGTCACCTATGGGAAACTCTGTCCAGCAGTGCCCATCTGCTGCTGGCAGAGCTTATGCCAGGCCTGTACTGCTATGGAGCCCCAAGATTTAACAACAGCCTGACAGCTCAATCAACCACCCCCATGTCATCCCCAAGTTTTATGATTTGGGTTAAAAATTAGACATTGATTTAGAACTGAGAGAGCCCTGAAATTTCAACATCTTGTTCTTTCTAGGTACTGCTATGCAGGCTGAATCTCACAGCATTTTTCATTTATATTTATATGCACACAGATTATGGATGCACAAACTTAAATTTGCTAACTACAGTGCTCATAAGCTGGTCTCAAGGAAGCAATACATAAGATCACCCACTCCTGGGTTCTAATATAACACTGGCCAAATTTCTCTAATTCTAAGGTGCCAAAGACATATCAGAGATTTAGGTATTCAGGGGGTTGGGAAGGAGAAAGGATTTCCAAATTAAAGATATACATTCATTATTAAAGGTATCTCAAGGGGCGCCTGGGTGGCTCAGTCAGTTAAGCACCTGCCTTTGGCTCAGGTCATGATCCCAGGGCCCAGTGATTGAACCCCGCATCGGGCTCCCTGCTCAGTGGTGAAGCCTGCTTCTCCCCCTCCCTCCGCCTGCCGCTCCCCCTGCTTGTGCTTTCTCCCTCTCTCTGTCAAATAAATAAATATATATATTTTAAAGGTATCTCAATTACAGAAATATTCAAGTATATGGGGGTAACAGTATGTCTTAGAATTAAGGAAATGTGTTAATTCTTGGACAACGTCAAGTGAATGAAATAATTTATTGGTTTTTCAATAGTAACTAACACCACAATTTCTTGACTAGCTATGGCTAATAACCACAATTCAGTTGTGCCTCTGAGTTATAACTCAGAGTGTGTCTTTACACACTGGGCTTAAAAGACTCATGGCTTTTGTTTTAATATTGCACTTCTTAAACCCAGCTATCACAACACATCACAAGCCTTTGACACAAGGCTAGGATATAGATAGCTCGGTTAGTATCAAGTGCTGCCTAAATCTTTAAAAATAAGCATCTCTGGGGCGCCTGGGTGGCTCAGTTGGTTAAGCGACTGCCTTCAGCTCAGGTCATGATCCCAGGGTCCTGGGATCGAGTCCCGCATCGGGCTCCCTGCTCTGCAGGGAGCCTGCTTCTCCCTCTCCCACTCCCCCTGCTTGTGTTCCCTCTCTCGCTGTGTCTCTCTCTGTCAAATAAATAAATAAAATCTTTAAAAAAAAAAAATAAATAAGCATCTCTTAGGTCTATTCGTCTCCAAAACAATACAGTGATGTCTAAGGATTGTAACTTGACAATCGTGTGGCAACTCAGCATACCTAAGAGCACTGAAAGACAGAAAACACGATCAGTTAACGGAAACCAGTAATCAGAGGGATGTTTGACAAATCAGAGTGCTTTGAAAATATAAATTATTTCACAAAGGAATGTGATATTAGCATTAAGGCTACGCCTCATTGTCTATTTCTTTCTACTACAAACTAGAGATTTACTAAATTCTAGTACCAAAATAAATTCCTCTATGTCTTCAAAGCTTCATGCTACTTAGCAACGATATTTTACATCTGTGGAACAGTCTATAGTAAAAAAAAGGCTTTACAGACATTTTAGCTAAATTATTTCCTTGAATAATCTGGATGTTTTGTAACCTTTAAGATAGAAGAACTCAAGACAAAAGGCCTCTATAAGTGACTGGCTAAGGGCATGATGAATTAACAGAATTCATCACAATGCATGCCTTAATACTTTGCAAAACACCTGGGTCTCCTTCAGATCTCACAGATGCCTTTCAACCATCTTGATCTTTACTATACACGCCAAAGAAAACCAACTGCGTTCAATAATGAGGCCCTGAACCTAAATTCTACCTGAGTAAGCAAACATAAAATTGCCTTAAGACATGGAGACTCACAACTCCATGGTCATAGTGGGCATAATCTCCATTTCTTGGTAAGTAAATGGCACCGTTAAGGATTAAAAAACTTATACAACCTAGTATCTAATCAAAATTCATGTTCTCATGAAGTTCCATGTGGTGTTCATTCTAAAGACTTGTATAAAAGCTGGACTTCTGCTAAACTTTTCCTGTATAGCACTTATTTCAATTATAATCATGTAATTTTTGTGTGATTGTGTTTCCTACCAGATAATCTGACGACAGGAACCATGCTTGTTTTGTTCACTGTTGTAGTCCCTCTGCTGAGCACAATGACTGGCACACAATAAGCATTCAATAAGTGTTTTGAATGAATGAATGAGTTTCATCACCATGCCGTTCTTTTTGAGCAAGTGTCTTAGCTTACTATACTTCTTTGAAAGGCTTGGGCCTGGGGCGCCTGGGTGGCTCAGTCGTTAAGCCTCTGCCTTCGGCTCAGGTCATGGTCCCAGGGTCCTGGGATCAAGCCCCGCATCGGGCTCCCTGCTCCACGGGAAGTCTGCTTCTCCCTCTCCCAC